GACTGAACACAAAACCAACATCAGCCGTTAGCTGTTAGCACTCAGAGCTCACAGCTCCTCATATCTGTTCAGAAACTAGACAGAAGTTAAACAAGTACAAACCACAGACTGTCTGTGTCATGGAGAATACAGTCGCTGCTTTATTTCTGTCTGGAGGCCGTTGTTGTGAGTGTGGACGGTCGGAGCATATACAAGACGCCCGCCTGGCGGAAACGCTGAAATTAGGAATATATTGTGATGAAGTGCACACTGACCTGAGCTCCAGGGGTCTCTTTCTTCTTAAATTGATCCATTTAGTCAATGTGATGCTAAGCAGAGGAGAAAATGATAGAAAGGTCAGATAGTTATTAACGTTACATGCAAATGACTTTAACCATTACGATAACAAGTTATTATTATTAATATAATACAAATATTTAGATGTAATTCATCGTAATCTGTGTAGCAATTTACAGCTTGTTCACTTTTATTTCATTAAAATGACTTTATTCACATAGAAAGTGACATTAATGGTTGTTTGAACCATGGTTATAACTCTATCTGTGTCATTACCTATCACCAAGTTAACACAGAAAGCAAACATTAGCTAGAGAGACTGTTTAATGTACTCCATGTATACAGTATTTTCTGTATATTGTGTATTCTTTAGATACTCTAGTGACATGTGTCCTGTGTGTAAACTTGCTGCTAATGCTCAATTTGTATTATATCTTATTGCATCTTTTAAATATGTTTAACTCGTGTAATGCCTGAAAACACTTCTGCTGTGACACAATCATTTCCCAGTTTAAGATAAATCATTATTTAAATGAAGTATAACTATTTATCTAATGAGCTAAACCGTCACTTAGCATTAGCTGCTAACTGAAGAACCCCATTCATTTCAATGGGAAAAATGCTACGTCACGGTCAATGGCGATGCTAATAAGCTAGTTAGCATATATTTAAAACCATATCTATGGTAAAGAGCACCAACACAACAACTCAAACTGTCTTAAAGACAACTGGTGTAATAAATAACTAACAAAGTCAGCTGAGCATTACAAATCAATTGTTACTCACCCAGAGCCGAACTGGAATAATAACTGTAGCTGTTAGCCGATAGCTTGTAGACTTTAGCTGTTAGCCGATAGCTTGTAGACTTTAGCTGTTAGCCGATAGCTTGTAGACTTTAGCTGTTAGCCGATGGCTTTTAGACTTTATTTAAAGATAATTTGAGACTATTTTTGGCGCACATTTCAAGTTTTTTTGTGAGTTTCTTTCTTCCAAGATTACAGCTGTTGTGTTGAATAAGATAACTTCTGATTCGTGATGAACTGTAAGCTAAGCTAACAGGTGTAAATACACTTAATGAAACCTCTGTAGGTGTTTAATCCACTCACTTCGTCTTCACCTTCGTCTCTCGGTTTTTGGCGAATTGCAAATAATTTTAAAGGTGCATCTTCTTCTTCTCTCGTTTTTGGTGGATTGCAAACAACTTGAAAGGTGCATACCGCCACCTACTGTACATGAGTGTCTTGGCTTTTAGCACCATAAGCTGTTAGAACCGTTAGCTGCTACCACCGTTAGCTAGTGATGGCAAAATGAAGCTTCGAATGAAGCGTCGAACCACTTGGACAATTGTGTCAGAAATAGGTTCATTTCTCGAAGCTTCAGTTACAGCGACCTCTCCTGACGAAGTGCAAGGCTGCAGTGGGTTTAACGTATCTTTGCCTTGAAAAATATTCGACACTAAGACTGAATATCATGTTCTATTTGCAATTAAAGATTGATAATTGTGTGTATTGGGTTATTGAGAAGAGACTAGAGAGTGTTGGACATTTTTTTGGGAGGAGACGGCCTTTTAACAGTTATTAAAGTATTAAAGTTGAAAAGCAATGATTAAAAGTACATCCATTCCGGGCTTTGAACCAGCTGAGCAGGGGACATCGCCGCATCAGGGCAGCCGGCTCGACCCACTGGGCTATCTATTCCTTAAAACATTGGACTGTTTTTATATTCCTGATAATTATCTTTTTGTTCAGAACTTCTCCACATTTCGAAGTGTTTCCCGAGCCAGAACGACCTATCTTTCTTCCTGGCTTGCTCTATAATGATATCAAATGCAATACCAACAACAACTCAAATGCAAACTACGACAACAACCCACACATTGCGCATTGTTTAGAGTGGTCATAAAGTGTTGAAGCGCTCAAATTCAAAACTGTTTCAACCTGTCAGAATCGACACGAGGCAGTACATTGAATCGCGTGAATGGACCGTGAACCAGTCAAGTGATTCATTCAGGAAATGAAGCAGTTGCTGGTTCGGACGTCACATGTCACGTGATTTGAAGCAGTTGCTGCTTCTGACGTCATATGTCACGTGATTTGAAGCAAGCTTCGAAGCACTGCTTCTATGAAATAGGAAGTCCAGGGTTGAAGCTCCGTTCGAAGCTTCAGTGTCAAACTGTCATCACTACCGCCACCTACTGTACATGAGTGTCTTGGCTTTTAGCATAAGCTGTTAGAACCGTTAGCTGCTACCACCCTTAGCTGTTACCACTCACTGTAAAGCCCGTTAGCACCCTTAGCTGCTAACAACGTTAGCTGCTAGCAACATTAATTGCTTGCACCCTTAGCGGCTAGCACTGTTAGCTGTCAGCACCATTAGCTATTAGCCCGTTAGCTTCTAGCACCGTTTGCTGTTAGTCCCGTTAGCTGTTAGCTGTTAGCCCCGTTAGTTAGCTGCTAGCTTCCAGCTCAGCGACCAACACCGTGAGGGTCCTGTGAAGTCTAATCAATCCAATGTACATTTTGATTTGGGAACCTTTTTAAAAACTCGTCACACATTCTAAAATTAGCTAGTCCTAAAGGGTTTTAAGTCTTTAACTGTTCCCTCGCAGGCCTAGTTGAGTAAATAGCAGTATTACATGTTCAGTTTCAAACAGAATGCATTTGCTAATATTCAGTATTAAAGGGTAGTGGGTTTAAGGAACCAACAGTTTGTTAATTGTTTAAAAAGTTAATAAGAAATGGTTTTAAAAGCTTTTTAACAATTGTTCACGAGTCATTTAAATTCATAATATTATACTGTGATATTTCCTGTTTTAATGTTACAAGTTTCGTTCTGTCTAAATCCCAAATAAATGTACTTTAATGTGATGTAAAAGCAACACATCTACCTATTTAAGAGGCTGGAAATGGCATTTAAACACATTTCTTCAGAGAAAACCCCTTTACAGTTGATAAATGATCTCTAAATGTGAACTTTCCATGTTTTCCCCCTTAAAACACTCCTCCTGCTGTAAACTCCATGTGAAGAATCAAAATCAGTGTTAAAATAAATTCAGATGATCTAAAAACTCTTCTTTTCCCACACATTCATCCACACATTTCATCTCCCATTAATCACACCTGACGCCGAGTCTTTTGAAAAAGCCTGGTGATGGTTTATTCATTTTAATCACTATAGAATACATTTCAGGTGCAACACATGCCACATGTATAAAAGAATACAGTCACTTGTATTATGATTTTTCCATATTTGATATAAACATTTACGAGACAAAGAATCGGACACAGTGACCGGACTGAAATGTCTTAAATAATACAAATATATATCGAGGGACGGTGAAAATCCTCCGCAGGCAGACTCTCGGTCCACGCCTGCAGAAAAAGACTGAATATGGGGAAGCAAAGAACTGTTGAAAGAGTATTTCTGAATTAAACCTCCGCCTCTTTCAAGAGCTTCGTGGTCTCCTCTCTCGAGGGTCCTGCGTCTTGAATGATTGTTGCAAACAGAATAGATTTCAAGACTTTTCAATCAAAAGTTTCTCCTTTTTTACAAAACAGTTTTCAGGAATGCAGTGTGTCCAGTAAACATATAGGAGGTGTTTTTCCTCCATCTTTTATTTATTTTTGCTGCATTGGAAGTGGAGTCGAGCTCCCAGCAAAAAAGGGTTTTTCTTTTCTTTCTGTAAACATGTTGATATGTACTGAGTTAACTTTACTGAAGTCTATCAAACAAGCAGCCTGGGAAAAAGCAAGAAGCCAATTTTAGGAGTGATTTCATAATGCACGAGTTCTGCATTTTAGCATCTCTTGATTCAGCGGCAGCAGTACGAGGAAATGATCATGAAGAAGGAAAAACTGCTCCATAAATATATATATTTCTGCCAACATAAGTCACTGAAGCGTAAAAAAATATGACATTTACAAGGATGGAATATGAGACGATGGGCTCCTGGGCACAGACCTGTTGTTTGTCTTTGCATCTCTTTGTAGTCATTGTGTGTCTCTATGTAGTCACTTTAAGTCTCTTTGTAGTCATTGTGAGTCTCTATGTAGTCACTTTAAGTCTCTATGTCGTCACTTTAAGTCTCTATGTAATCATTGTGAGTCTCTATGTAGTCATTGTGTGTCTCTTTGTAGTCATTGTGAGTCTCTATGTAGTCACTTTAAGTCTCTTTGTAGTCATTGTGAGTCTCTATGTAGTCACTTTAAGTCTCTATGTCGTCACTTTAAGTCTCTATGTAGTCATTGTGAGTCTCTATGTAGTCATTGTGTGTCTCTATGTAGTCATTGTGAGTCTCTATGTAGTCATTGTGTGTCTCTATGTAGTCATTGTGAGTCTCTATGTAGTCATTGTGAGTCTCTATGTAGTCATTGTGAGTCTCTATGTAGTCATTGTGTGTCTCTATGTAGTCATTGTGAGTCTCTATGTAGTCATTGTGTGTCTCTATGTAGTCATTGTGTGTCTCTTTGTAGTCATTGTGTGTCTCTATGTAGTCATTGTGAGTCTCTATGTAGTCATTGTGAGTCTCTATGTAGTCATTGTGTGTCTCTATGTAGTCACTGTGAGTCTCTATGTAGTCATTGTGAGTCTTTATAAAGTCATTGTGTGTCTTTATAAAGTCATTGTGTGTCTTTATAAAGTCATTGTGTGTCTTTATAAAGTCATTGTGTGTCTTTATAAAGTCATTGTGTGTCTTTATAAAGTCATTGTGTGTCTTTATAAAGTCATTGTGTGTCTCTATGTAGTCATTGTGTGTCTCTATGTAGTCATTGTGTGTCTCTATGTAGTCATTGTGTGTCTCTATGTAGTCACTTTAAGTCTATTTGTAGTCATTCATTGTATCTTTGCAATCATTTAGTGTCTCTTTCAAGTCATTTTGGTTTTATTGTAGTTGTTTTACGTTTCTTTGAAGTCTTTTTGTGTCACTTTCTAGTTGATTCATGTCGCTTCGTCATTTTGCATCTGTTTGCAGGAGCTTTGTCCCTTTGTTGTCATTCGTTGTATCGTTGCAATAATTGTACATCTCTTTTTAGTTGAGTTGTGTCTCTTTCTTGTCGTGTTACATCTCTTTTTGTAGTCACTTCTCATCTGTAAGCAGCCAATTGTTTCTGTTAATGTCTCTTTGTGGTCGTTTGTTGTCCCATTTTCGTCATGTTGTGTCTCTATGTAGTCGATTTCCGTTGCTTGTCTGGTCATGCTGCATCTCGTTGTCGTAGCAGTGTCTCTTTGTCGTCATTTGTTGTATCTTTGCAATCATTGTGTCTCACTGTCGTCGTTTTCTTTCTCTTTGTCGTCGTTACGTCTGTTTGAGGTCATATTTGAGAGTTGCCCCTGCTTTCTGTGCCCGGGAGACCCCGCTCAGTAATCCCTCTGTGTGTGTGTTTTAATGTGAAACTCTTAACCCACATCTGCAATCCTTCCGTAAACTGAACACGTACAGGTGTTTCCGGATGGCGAAAGCGTGCTCCCACGTTACTGGAGGTGAACAAACGCTGTGATGGTCACATACTGTACATCCCATGCAACAATACTAAATGAATCCATAGGGTTTCTCTTTTATAACCACCTAAAGATGCAAAAGGTAAGAGATTCATATTTTTCTGACACATATTATATGCATGCAAAGAACCTACTCTTCCTGGTTCCACCGTGTGAAAACAGCCTCTCTATTCTCCACGTCTGGATAGTAGAGACGGTTACAATTATCATAGGAGTTATTGTTTAGTTAGTATAATGTAAAGCGTACAGCGGCAGCAGCGGTGAACACTGGGGTTTTCCTAAACACTGCAGGAACATCACGCAGTGCTCCACTCATTTACAAGCTACATGTTTTAGGGGTTTTACTGTGCACAAATCACGGGTTTGGAGATAGAAACGTATGATATCTTTACAGCTATATTCAAAATTATTCAGCTTTGACATTCTCATGCATACAACCACAAGAAGCGAGTCCATTGAAAAGTAGTCCAAGCATTGTTTTTTTTGTGTTTTCCTGTGGGGATGGCAGAGAACCTAAAGACATTAAAACATGTGCTGCAGTCCAGAGAGTGTGTTTACAGAGGGAGGGGAAGGAGATGAGTGTGAACGAGTGAAGATGGAGGTCTCACTTCTGCATGTCACACTGCAGCAGAAGAACGATGGACGGGTCGCTCTTCGCCGCCTCCTTGAACTCGTCCAACGAGATCTGGTCGTCGTTGTTTTTATCCATCTTTCCGAAGATCTTGTCCACCCTCTGCTGCGGTGTCAGGCCGTCCTCATTCATCTTCATCATGATCACCGTGCCCACCATCTTGTAGATTGCCTGGTGGAGAAATGAACACAAGGAAAGGAGGGTTATGTCATCCAGCATTGGGGGGAGAATTTAGATATTTCACTATGAATACCAAACATAACTGATGAGGAAAAAAGCTTTACTGATGATGCATTCTGGACCTTTGAAGGAGACAGCTCTTTGACTGACCCTGCTGCGTATTATATTCCGCTCTGTTTAAACTAGCTCATGCAGAAGCACTTAATCTGGTTGGGTTTATAGGTAGGAAATGTACCTAAATATACCCACTTTATATAGTTTGTAGTATGCAGAACAGGCTTCAAGTTCATGCCTTTATAAGGGCACTTAGAATGAAGATTGAGCGGTCACTTTTCAAGTCAACGAAGACAGAAAACACTGCGGCATAAATTCAGTTTTTATATTTAAAGGCTTTTTCGTAGAGGTTGTGTTCTACGGTAACGGATCTGTGTCTCCATTCAAAGCAGGTGTGCAGGGTTCTGTTATTGGTCCCCTGATAAGTTTACCCCCCCCCCTCACCTCGATGATCTCCAGCATCTCCACCCGGGTGATCTTGCCGTCTCCGTCCAGGTCGTACATGTTGAAGGCCCAGTTGAGTTTCTGCTCGAAGCTGCCGCGGGACGTGATGGACAGAGCGCAGATAAACTCTCTGAAGTCGATGGTCCCGTCTCCGTTCTTATCGAAGGTCCTGAAGGCGTGCTGGGCGAACTTTGAGGCGTCGCCGTACGGGAAGAACTGCAAAGGTAGGAGGGACATGTTTTACATTTATCAACCAGATTACTGGAACTCATCAAAGTTCTGCCATATGGATGGATGGATAGATGGGACTGAATTGTTTAATGAATAGATGGAAGGATAAATGGACGGGTGACCTTGACGTAGAACAACTGGAACTAGTCAAATTTTGCCTGTTGTTGGGGCAGTCTCTCAAGAAGCCTTTGACTGAATAGAGGGTGGTTTAATAAACGTATGAATGGATGACCCACCTTGACGTAGATCTGCTGGAACTAGTCAAGGTTCAACCTGATGGTGGTTCAGTCCTTCAGGAATCTTTGTGTTAGAGAATATTTCTGTCCTTACTCCTAGGAGTCTAACCTTTTCTGTGTGTTGATGTTTAAGACCAACCCTGAGTCTGTTATCTGTCTTAAGGGATGGGAGGCTTCAGCTTTTGTTGATATTACCAGTTTTATGACCCGGCAACTATCGGTCACAGAGGGTTTTATGACTGTGAGAACGCTGGCTTCTAAGCACCACAGACAGGTGATTCAGTGTCTCCAGATGTTGGGGCTATCTCCAGTGCTCTATGTTGATTAACTCTCTGTAAGCTAGTTAAAAAGGTCTATCGAGAGAGAGACTATTCAGAGTTGATGTGGCAACCCACCCATGCAGTCGGAACCTCTGGCTGCTGTGACTTGTGATGTGAAATCCTCCGGCCGATACTTGTAATAAAACACCAGTGTTTGATATCAAAGCTCCAACTCTCCTCGTGTCTCTCTGAGTCCTGACTCTCCATTGCTGCAGAAGTTTCCCTTACACTTTGTATGAATGACTGAATGGAAAAATGAATGAATGGATAAATGACCCACCTTTTATCTGTTGTATTGTGTTGCACTGTTGGAGGAGCCTGTGACATAAGATTTCCATTGTCATAACTACACTGTAGCTATGACAATGAAAATAAAAGCCTTGAATCTTGATGTAGAACAACTGGTTTCAGTCAAAGTGTGCCTGTTGTTGGGGCAGTCTCTCAGGAAAGCCTTTGACTAGATGGAAGGATCGATGGATGAATATATGACTGAGTGGATGATTCACTGAATCAATGACTGGATATATAAATAGACTAATGGGTGACCCACCTTGACGTAGAGCTGCTGGAACTCGTCGAGGTTCAGCCGGCCGGTGGGACAGTCCTTCAGGAAGCCTTTGTACCACTGCTTCAGCTCGTGCTCGTTGAACTCCGTGTTCTTCACCAGGTCCTCCATCACCTCCGGAGTCAGCTTGCTGTTCTGCTTCCCCATGATCCTGCAACCACACCAGAGCAATGCGTTCATTAAAGGTCTCCTATCATCCTCTCCTTCATCAATATATCACAGGTCTCAGATATATCCAGAGCCTGTCTCTGATTGGCTGAAACACCAAACAGATCATTGCAGCATTACCCATAACCCCCTCTGTTTCAGCCCTGTTTCCAAAGTGCTGATTCTCTGTCTGTTACTTTAGATGAAAATAAGGAGCCCCTCCCCACGCCCCTCTGAGAGACATTTGGTTACAAAGAACTCAATGGTGCTCTAGGAGGAGATTCAGGTGATAAGGGGGGGGGGGGGGGGGGGGGGGGGGGGGGGGGGCTGATTGGCTAATGGTTACACAAGACAAACATCGTTATTACATCATAAAGTGGCCAAAATCTGATCAGCTCATTTTCAGACAGGTTTTTATAGAAATGGATCAAAAAGAGAGAGAATCTTTGTTGAAGAAGAGGGGACACATGTTGATGTAGAAGAGACATGAAGAAGAGGGGACACATGTTGATGTAGAAGAGACATGAAGAAGAGGGGACACATGTTGATGTAGAAGAGACATGAAGAAGAGGGGACACATGTTGATGTAGAAGAGACATGAAGAAGAGGGGACACCAACCCAGTCTCACAAAAAAACGTGTAATAACTACGTTGGTCCACAACGTAGGACGTAGTATTTCTACAAAAACGCCTCTGAAATTGTAAGATGCCTACGTTTTTTTTCACCATTCATTCTAATGGCTGGCTTCTATGTCACGTGATCTTCAAATTTCTCCCTGCAGAATAAAAAACATGGCTGACCTTCGTTTTATTCTCGGTGTAAAATGCCTATTTTAAGGTTAGTTTGGTCATTAAAATGCGTTTTAATGTCATTTCATGCGAGAAATATGAGTTGTTATTTAAGATTATGTGTGCAGTGGGTATACATGATCTTTAGTTTGCTAGTTATTACGAAGATTACATGTGTCCATTCAACGTTTTCATTGTTACCAAGGTGGTTGCTAGGGACGCTGCTATCGATATTATTTCTGTTATGTGGTGTAAAATGGTGTTGTCTTTATTGCTACCCCCTTCCCCGTCAATGTATAGTGTTGGTCCACAGTGCAAACGTATTAGTTATTAGCTAGACTTTTATTTAGCATCTCAAAACACATGTAAACAGCTTCATGCCCGGGAGGCGAAGACCGGCAGTCCGGCTCACTAAAATGTCCGTGCAGAACAATACCCATTAAATGGAATGGGACCACGGCAGACTGTCCAAAACTGGATTTGAACGGGATTTGATTTTGGAGGTTTAGGGGATAGGAAACACTCAAATTAAAAATATATAATTAATAAATGGGTGAAAATGGCTTGTGCCCAATGGGCAGCATTAATATATACCCACACGACAGCTAAGGTCAGAAGAGCTTTATTTAACAGCTGGTCTTATGTCTGTGACCCCTCCTGTTGTTCATTGATAAGCCTGAAACATGTACTTGTCAAGGTGAGGCACATTTTGCAAATCTGGCAGTAGCCATCGATCAGCTTAAGATAAGATATACTTTATTGATCCCAAGTTGGAAACATTTGCGTTACATCAGCATGTGTATAGTTGTACATATGCAGTGGTGTTTATTTGTAAATCATTTAGTATAATCACACAAATTCTGTGTTTTATATTTAATAATTCTCTGTTCTTTATTTATTGATTGTTCAATACCTGACAAGGCCGGAGATGAAAAACTTGGGTCACAGGTTCCTCAACAGTGCATCACAAGACATCTTTCAATATTTGTGTACCTCCACCATTAAATTGTCATATTCTGCACATTTCTTATACTATCTACATCTTATAAGAGTATAATACATATGTATAATATCAGTTAAAATAAGTGCTTCAACATAGTTAACATTCCTGGAGGTATGCACAAAGTTTTACATTCATTGCATAACTACACCGTTTGTGGATATGTCAATAAACCTTAGAAATTCTTGAAATCTTGAAACGGATGTGCAAAATAGTCATTATATACAGTCTTTAATTAACTATTAGTAGAGAATAACGAGTAATGAATATACTTTATAGGGATCCTATTAATATCTAATAATAAAAATAATGAAATGCAATAACATGCTTTAACCACTAGGTGTCCCTTTATATCAGCTGTGCACCTTTATGGTGTAAATACAGCCTATCTACCAATTGGATCAAATATAAAAGTCAGCCGAATTAGTGTTGATACTGCAAGGAGATGTATTGTGTGAAAATAAATGTAAGATGTTGTTTAATTACTGATATATTTATGATCCATGTCACGTTTCCAGTTCGTCGTGTTTGTCTCATCAAGGCTCTATAAATAGAGAACTACAGCAGATATGTAACATTTAATGCAGCCGAACCGTGTATTACAATGCCGGTATGTTACATTACATTGCATTTAGCTGACGCTTTTATCCAAAGCGACTTACAATAAGTACATTCGACCAGGAAGACACAACCTTGAAGAAAACAGAATCATATAAGTACATCAGGTTTCATAGAGCCAAACATTTCAAGTGCTACTCAACTGGCTTTAGGTAAGCCAGTCCTTTATTAGTATAAAAGTGCTTCGTTAATAGTTCTAACGCTCGAAGTGGAGTCGAAAGAGATGAGTTTTCAGTTTGCGCCGGAAGATGTGCAAGCTATCTGCCGTCCTGATGTCAATGGGGAGCATCATGTGTGATGACTTTCAAAGAGAAAAGCAGTGGACCAACACTAATAACGGTGTTGGTAACGGAAAATAACGTATCTATTGTGGTGATTGACATTATTCACCCACGGATCTATGGGTTAGGCCAGGGCTCTGGGCCAGGGTATTGTTCTGCACGGACATTTGAGTTAGCCGGACTTCCTGTCTCCCCCGGTCCGATGTGTTTTGAGATGCTAAATACAAGTCTAGCTAATAACTAATACGTTTGCACTGTGGACCAACACTATACATTGACGGGGAAGGGGGTAGCAATAAAGATAACACCATTTTACACAACATAACAGAAATAATATCGATAGCAGCGTCCCTAGCAACCATCTTGGTAACAATGAAAACGTTGAATGGACACAATTTCCTGAAGTAATCTTCGTAATAACTAGCAAACTAAAGATCATGTACATCCACTGCACACATAATCTTAAATAACAACTCATATTTCTCGCATGAAATGACATCAAAACGCATTTTAATGGCCAAACTAACTTTAAAATAGGCATTTTACACCGAGAATAAAACGAAGGTCGGCCATGTTTTTCTTTCTGCAGGGAGAAATTTGAAGATCACGTGACATAGACGCCGCCATTGGAATGAATGGTGAAAAAAAACGTAGGCATCTTACAATTTCAGAGGCGTTTTTGTAGATATACTACGTCCTACGTTGTGGACCAACGTAGTTATTACACGGTTTTTTTGTGAGACTGGGTTGGGGACACATGTTGATGTAGAAGAGACATGAAGAAGAGGGGACACATGTTGATGTAGAAGAGACATGAAGAAGAGGGGACACATGTTGATGTAGAGGAGACATGAAGAAGAGGGGACACATGTTGATGTAGAAGAGACATGAAGAAGAGGGGACACATGTTGATGTAGAGGAGACATGAAGAAGAGGGGACACATGTTGATGTAGAAGAGACATGAAGAAGAGGGGACACATGTTGATGTAGAGGAGACATGAAGAAGAGGGGACACATGTTGATGTAGAAGAGACATGAAGAAGAGGGGACACATGTTGATGTAGAAGAGACATGAAGAAGAGGGGACACATGTTGATGTAGAAGAGACATGGAGAAGAGGGGACACATGATGTAGAAGAGACATGAAGAAGAGGATTTTGCACAATAGGTGACCTTTAAAGCCTGAGCCATGAAAAATACCTTCAGACAGTCCGCCTGCAAAGAGGTTCAGAGGTTTTCTGCAGATTTAGAGCTGAGTTTGTCTTTGAATGGAGATTTTAAACCTCAGTGCGGCAACTAAAGATTGTTTTCATTATATAATATCTGAAACTCAAAGATTTTCAGTTTCCTGTCATAAAGCATGAGAAAAACCAGAACGCCTTCACCTTTTAGGAGCTCTTAAAAAAGCCCTCAAACAGATACATTGGTTATCAAGATATTGGGGGATGTATTAGTTGACGACTATAGATACATCTTTGCACGTGTATTTAACATATTATCCACACAGTATGCAACACTTCATGAACATACCTGTATCAGGTCTGCAGCTGAATATTATTTTCATTACACATTATTTTTCTAGATTACTGGTTTACTGTCTAAAAATCCAGAAAATATTGAAACTGTTTCCCTTGAGGGAACACGGGGATTTTAGCCTCTGCAGACCATTTACATGCACTAAAACCTGTAGAACACACTATAGGAAAGGGAAACCCACAGACAGCAGAATTAGGGCTCCTATAAACAGCTATTTCAACTTCAAACCGCAGAGTCTCTCTCTCTCTAGGAGTCGTGTAAGTCGGCAGTGAATATTTCCCGCTGCTCTGGTTCTATTTCTGTCTCCGACCCGGATCCTGTGACAGATCAGTTCATCGATCAATCGATCGCTCAGATCAGGTTACTGCAAACAAACACAACAAACCTTCGTATGTTGTGTTTGTTGGCAGACAGGTAAACATACCAGGCTCAGCACAAACATTCGGTGGGACGTCTTTTACCATGTAGAAAAATGTTGTCTCTCTTCCACTTAAAACACCTTGTAGATTCACTTCCAACTAATATCACAATCGCAACGATTCCAACACAAGGCCTTTACAAGATAAATCAAATCATTGGAGGAAAATGTATTCATATATTATTTGTGTTTATACCAGAAACGTATTATACTCCCTACAGACTAAGTGTACTCAAATCTCTTCCATCAGGAGAAACACGCAGCCGTTTCAGAAACGATGCAGATATAAAAACCCAAAGGTTCCACATGAAGGAACTTCTTCAGCAACTTGACAACACATGCAGCGTTTAGAGAACATTCA